ATTTTATTATTTTAAATGTCTAAGACTCAGTTCTGATTAATAAATATATGTATGAATATCCAGCTGGTCAGAACTCATTGATTTGTATGAAAAAATACGTGAAACGCAAAATACTTAGTTTAAGCCACTGTTTTAGTCATTTAAATTAGTTATCTATTTCAAATTTCCATAACTATAAAATTCACAATTTTCTCAGCTTTATTTTGAACCATAGTTTGTAAAAATCAAGCAAGAAATAAGGAAGTTATAATAGATTTTCATCAGGATGACGCCTCACAGTCCATTGACCTCCATTCATTTTGTTGTGACTCTTCAATGCATAACAGAGCTTCAGTGCGTGCACGTCAATGTAGCTAAGCCAAAGCCAAAGCGCTAGCCACGCCCAATCCAGTAATATATATCAATGGTTGCTACAGCGGCTAACAACACAGACCGTAGATTAGAATCTTTTGTTTCTTTAAATTATTTTGAGTCACTTTCTGAGAGATGACGACATGTCATTGTTATAGTATTGTTTCTATAAACAAAGACCAGGGAGTTCTTTCTTAAAGAATTCCCCTTTGATGTCACTTCCTGTTTCACTTTAGCTGAGACGAGAAAAAAGATTATCTGACAAAATGGATAAAATCATATGTATTATGCCAATGTTCCTTAAATACAAACATGTTTTCTTTGACTTTGTGTATTTGAAGGATATGCATGTCACTTTAAGGCCTTCACCGACACAGTGTGTGTGTTCATGTGGGAGTGTGTGTATGTGTGTGTGCAGGACCATTTCAGAAAAGATTTGCATGAGGTTTGTCACTGAAGTTAGTGGGTCAGGAGGATGTCCCGTCAGGAACTCACTCTGGAAACATCAACCCTTAAAGCAAACAGTCTGCCTCTATCTTTCATTTATTCATTCAAATTCCTGCAGTGTAATGTTACAAGAGGTCACAAACACCAGCTCAGACCTGTTTAGTTGTGTACTACTCAGCTGGATATACTTGTGTTGAGCGCTTAGGAGGCAAAATATTATTCTAGTTCACTGTGGGTCAGGAGTGACGCAAGAAGCTGTCAAATAAAAGGAGTGTTTTAAATATATGAACACCATCATTAAGCAATGTTTATTTAGACTTATCAGTTATAAAAAATGATTGGAGTTCATCTTACAGAATTAAGCTGGTTTGTTCTCTATGACTCAAGTGATATCAGGCAAAGGCTTCAGCTGAGATGGATTCAACAGTTTCAGTCAGTAGTTTTTGACTAGATCCATGACTTGACGATCATAAAGCAGTCTTACATCTGACTTTGTTTGTCTCACCTGGTCAAGTGAAAGTAGTACAACGCAGACTTTACTGAAAGACCTAAAGCAGGGCTATTCAACTAAACTGCTCCGGGGGCCACAGTTACTGCTGGTTAACAGCTGAGGGGCCGAACATCCAGCAATTAAAGTTATTTTGTAGATAAACCAAGTATTACGAAGATCTGTTACCTTTGAATTAGTTTATTTTGCTGCATTTAATAATGAATACAACATACAGAACCCTATAAAAGTAGTGATAATTACACATTATCAAAAACAAAAAGAACACATTACGCCTCCTATTTAACACAAATAATATTTTGACATCTCTGATTAACCAAATTTTTAAAACAATTTTATTTTCACTTTCATCATTTTGTCTTCAACTGTCTTGAGTGTTTATAGAAATTGTTTTTACCAGCTTCTAGCCAAGATTCTGACATTTCTGTAGATACCAAAAATGTCTATGTTTAAGTAAAATAACTTAGAGTAATAAAAGTAGAAAACCGGGGGGTTTGGGCTTAAGAGATGAATGAACCAATTTGCGGGCCGAACTTTGGTCACTCGCGGGCCGGATGTGGCCAGCGGGCCGCCAGTTGAATAGCCCTGACCTAAAGATATTAGGATCTAAAACCTAATGTTGTGAAGCAACTAAAAAACCTATTTATTTTTGGAAATGTTTTTTTATTCGTTCCAGGAAACTAATTTAAATCCATCTGTCTACTTTACGAGACAAACGTTTAATAGTTGTTATGATTGTTGTTGTTGTTAAGAAATTGTTATGTCTGGCCTTGTTTTTTAATTCCTTTGGAGATCTAAAGCTTTCTGTTCATATAAGAGAGAAGCTTCTGTTTCCAGTTTTTTAGTTTTATAAAACATTTAGTCTTCTGGCTGTAACCCGAAAACATAATTTTACAGATTTCATGGTCCTGTGAGGACCTGAGACCACAGACATGTTGTCTTGTCGTTTGCGGAAAACCCTCTGGTGCCCCCCTCTTCCATGTGAAGTAGTCTGAAACACATACACTGATCACAGAACAAAAATAATTTTTAAAAGCTTCCAATCAGTCAGTTTCTAGGATGGTTGTTCATAACTTATTTGTTTTTCTTTTGAGTGTCTGTCTTCAAATTGACCTCAGGTGAGTTACAAGAGAAACTAGATGGTTATATGGTTTCAGCTCGTTCTAATAAAATGACTGCTTTTACAGACTTTAGTTTGAAACTTTCAGCTAAAATATACTTCCTGTCTTGTAGTTATTCCATCTAATCATGCTTCAGGTGATTGAATGCATAATGTGAAACTCATGTTGCAAACAATGGTTGAAAAATATGGCGAAACAAAGAGCTACAGCACTTCTTCCTCTTAGGTGCTTTAACTTTGCAGTTGGTTATAATTTTGGGGGGATAGATGAATGCAGTTAATTCTTTCAGAAATACTTCATGTTCTGTACCTAAAATACTTTTCAGATTGTAAAGAATTATTGTCAGTTCTGATTAATGTTTTGTCTCCGTGGTAAACAAAACTTTCTTTTAAGCTCATTAATGGGTAAAAAGAAAAAGCGCAGAATAAAAGACAGAAACTGGAGAAGGGACAGAGACTCAGGAGGGATGAGGAGCGAAAGGTGACAGATGGCGAGTGATGGATTAGCTTTCCCTTTCAGTTATCTGACCAGGTTTAAGTTGCTACTTTCCATTTTGTTAATTTTCTTCTACACAAACCTCAAAGTGATCCGTGGTGTTCCTCAGTAAAATCACTCATCACTATTTAAACATCCTGTCCCAAAATCAAATTTAGCACCACTACTAAATTTTTTTTCCCGGGACTTTAAAGTGTTTTCTCTTTTAGGCAGCTAACATTTCAAAAGGGTACCAGGCAGGAAGTACTTTTTTCTATCCACAATCAGCAGTGACCTCTTTATTTTATCCCACGCAGTTGAAATCTACTGTAAATAAAATAAAGTTTTGCACTGAAGTCATACAGAGCCCTACTGCAATCCCAAATGAGACCTATAAACGTTTGAGCAAACCCAGTTTATTACAATGAATTGGTCTTTTGTCAACAAGAGTCCACAGAATGGATCATTTAGTTTGTGCACAGAGTCTGAGACATGATACGATCAAACACAAGCTTCACGGCCATCCCAGTCATTGTTAAACAAGTCTGTTTTGCTTACAGTGATGACAACCTGGAATAAACCAAAATTAATACATTTATCTGTAATATATTTAGACCCCGTATATATGTCTCCCATTAAAACCTGTAGGGACATTTTCTGTTTTACAGTCATTGGAGCTCAGTACAAGGCCAGCATTTCCACTAAAACCCACCTTAGTATTAATTCTTACATATATATTCTTAGAATTTAAGCCTTTTTAAGTAATGCAGAAGGATTTTTTTTAAGTGTGCCTTTAGTTTTAATGGGTTCTTATGCACTGTGACTCATACATCTTTACCTTAAAGAGTTGTTAGTGGAAAATATTTTATTCAAACCACTTGGGTCCATTCGTTTGTGCTGAAAAGTCATCAATTATTAAAAGAATAAATATATTCATGTGTGCACAAAGTGGATGTCTGACATTTGAAGACAATACAGCATCTTTACTAAACAATACAGAAATCAAATGAAGAAATTATAAATACAGTATATAACAAATCTAAGTCAGCAATATAATAAAGCTTACTGTCTAGTTAGTATTGCTAAACTGCTATTAAAATAATAAAAAATACATTTATTGTGACAAATGTGTAATTTGATTTAAAAAATAGGAGAGTAGTATAATTACTTTATCTTTTTAAACTTAACCATGCAGAAATAATTGGCCTTGCTGCTGTTTTACATTAAATTAGATTAATTTCCACACATTGATCATAGACATTACTCCATGCAGGCCATCTGCTCCAAACCTAAAAGGAGCCATTAAAAAAGGCTTGACACCACTGTAGGGTCTGTGTTCAATACATTACTAACACTGTCTGAAAAAAATGCTGAAGTAATTTTTTGTTTGCTCTGTTTATTGTTGGTTTTGGTTGCTTAGTGTTTGTTTCTCTGCTGTCTGGCCTCTACAGAGTCTCAGTAGATGGAGCTGAAAGGTTTGGGTCACAGCCAGACCTGTCCTGAGTAAACAGAACTAGAGAAGCTCTGTTTCTGACTGCTGACCGATCAGAACGGTCTCTCTTCCTCTCCCGTGCTCAGCTGCAGTATTGACTGATGGCTGGATTGTGACTTTGTGTTTTGCAGATGGCTGTGAGCAGAAGCTGAGGACACCACTGGGAGTTCTGCACGTGCAATCATGAATGGTAAGAGCGTTGCAGTTTTGCAGCGAGTGAACGTGCTGATTGGAAAAGAAAAAGAGATTTTGCTTTGGTTTTCTTCATTTTTTTAACGTACTTTTTTATGGGTTGGCAGAAGTGCTGAGGTCAACACAGTCTGTTCTTGTAGTAGTCTTAGTCTCATTGATCCCCCTGTTGTACAATGGTAGGGGGAACACTGAGGTTGATATGTGTCAATGTTTTGCACCCCTAGGTCCAGCTATATGGGCGATCTCTCCCGAGGAGAGAGTAAAACATGATCAGAAGTTTGACACCCTCTCCCCATCGATGGGCTACATCTCAGGTACAAACTCCTTATATAGTTAATATTTTTAATTTTGCCATGATAATGCTTACAATCTTAATTTTATTAAACTAAATCCTCTGGTAAAGTAAAAAAAAATACACAAAGATGTTGGCTTCTCATCATCTGGCTGCTTGTGACTTGACTTTTAATCCAAACATATTCAGATTAAACTTTACATTTTTCAGTTTTGCAAAATTATTTTTAATTGATGTTCTTTTATTTTGTAGGAGATCAGGCAAGGAAGTTTTTCCTGCAGTCAGGGCTGCCTGCCTCAGTGCTGGCTGAGATCTGGTACAAAATACACATTTGTTGTTGATGGGAGTCCAGTATAATGTCTCAGATGTTTTGAAGCGGCACTACTTGACACATGGTCTTCTGTTTGTCTCATAGGACCTTGGCCGACATGAACATGGATGGGAAGATGGACAGGTTGGAGTTTTCCATCGCGATGAAGCTCATAAAGCTCAAACTCCAGGGTTCAGCGCTTCCCTCTGCGCTGCCCATCATCATGAAGCAGCCTCCAGTACCTGCTCCCACCTCTGTCATGTCCGGCCCTAACTATGGTACAGTTCCTCTTCGTGTTTTTAACTTTAAAACAAAGAAAGTTAAAGGCTCAATTGAATGATTTAGAGCAGGGGTTCTTAACCTTTTTGACCTCGGGGCCCAATTTATTGAACATAAAGTGACACGAGGCCCAGTCAGACATTACCAATGTATGGATCAAAATGATAATTATTCTAAATATTGGTTTAATTTTTATTGTATTTACATTATAACTAAATTAAATACACTTATATTTTAAAAGTAAAACTCCTGTCAAATAATCACAAGACGTGATTATGACGAACAATTTTTTTATATTGTAACCTGCCCATAACAATTATTTGAACAAATAGCTACAAAGGTCAGTCAACAGAACTTATCAACTTAACAACACAAAAATAACATTTTTTAACATAAACAATAACAACAATAGAAAATTCAATAAATAAAATTGTGGGCATAAAATAAATAAAAAATGTTTAAATGTTTCAAATACAAAAAAACTGTAAAAATAACTTTGAAAAAGTACAATTGAAAATATAGCCTTTTTAAACTTTTGCATGGTAGAAACAGAAGCTGCTCTTCATATTAGTGACAAACATTAAGAGTTTTTTTTTTTTTGTCCTTCATACATTTTTGCTTCTACTTTTCATTTAAAATAAGTTTCCATTTTCAGCAGGTATCTAAGGTTCTTCTTCTACATATTAAAAAAGTTGTTAAACATCTGAGTGGCGCACTACTGCTACTAGTGGTGAGAAAGTGTATTGCACCTTATTCAAAATCAATGCGGCCCAAAGTTAAAAACTGTTGTTCTTTTGAGGCCCTCCAGGTGGTGGAATTGGGCCGCGGCCCATTGGTCAAGAATCTCTGATTTAGATGTAAAACAAAAAGAAAAACTTTAAAGTTAAATGTATTTTGTTTGTGTTTGTTGTAGGCATTGGCTTCATGCCCATGATGGCTGGCTCCAACCTCGCCATGTTGACTCCGTCTATGGCGTCTCCTGGACTCTCAGCTTTAACACCAATGACCGGCCTCAGCCCGTACGTTCCTGCATCAACAGGGCTGAACCCACTGATGGGCTCCGCTACCACCAGGCCCATGATGCCCACTTTGGGAAACAAGGCCCTGTCCAACGGTTCCACAGGATTCCTTCCATCAGTCACTGGTGGACCTATGACTGCTGGTAAATGTCCTGTTGATCTATTATTTATCTGCCATTACTTTGGAATAAAAACTACAAGTGCTGCATGTTAGAGGTTTCTTCAGAGCAGGTTTTTAGATTAAATTAAAGCAAAAAAGAAACTTTGTTTTTATGATTACAATTCTTCATTCTGGAGTTTTCTAACTACTGCAGCTTGTGTTGCTAACATTTATTATTCATACAACTGAATGATTCATGAATGGACAATAAAAATGAACAATTATTCTTGCCTGTTTTTACACATTCACTTCAATCTTGACAATTTAAAGGAGGTTTAGGTGCAGCATGCTCCTGGTAGATTTACTGCCATTCACATTATCCAGGGGAGGGTGACAAAGCTTAAACTTAAAGGAATGAAGTTTCAACTTTAAATTTCTCCTTAAATTCTGGGAAAGGTTGCTGCTTCGTGTTCATAGCTAGCCTTAATTTTGTTTTCTGCTCAGTTGATGCTTTTGTGGATTTATTCAAATTTATGTGGGATAAATATTAGTTATTATTTATAGTCAGTACACACAGAATTACATCTAGCAGTGAAAGAACCAGTGCTCTGAAAAATATGTCCCCACATTTCAGACAGTTGTGAATGACGATACATATTCTGACCACTTGTTTTCCACAATAGAAGCAGTAGTTTAATATGATTGATCCTCCAAATATTATTGATCCTTAGAAATTTTTTTCAGTGGAATTGCGTGGTTTCTTGTACAATAAATATGATAATCACTTCTATATGCTTCGTTTGTACAAGATCTTATATGCAAATGATGTAGTTTGAAAAAGAAAATGTGTGGTTCCTGGTCTTGTTTTGCAGAGTTTAGTGTCTCTGTCGCATCTTTGCTGCCTTTCTGTCTCTGACATCAGTTACTGGATTAAAGTGTAAAGATGACTGTTTTAGGTTTCTTTCTATGATAAAAAAAAGCCACAGTTTTTATTGTTGTTACAAAGAGATGTTGCAAATCACATAAATGAATTCATATAAGTGTTTAATTTTAGGGCTGCCTCTTTCTGCGACCCCGTACCCGTCTCCAGCTGGACTCTCAGCTTCTCCTGCTGCTATGAACTCAGCCCTGCTGGATCTTGGCAGGTAAAACACGCTCATATACAAAACTTTAAAGTGCCTGTGAAGTCAAATTTTTGTTATACATATGAATGCTTTTTAGAAAGAGGACATTGATAAAATATTGCAAAAGAAAATTCATGTCGCTGAGATGAACAGTTGTTGAGATATTTACCTGTGAAGTAACAGGAAGTGATGTCAAAGGGGAATGTCTGCAAATGCACAGAGCGTTGCTACAACAGCTAACAACACAGTCTGTGGAGAAGAACCTGATGTTTCTTTAGGTTATTTTGAGTCACAGAGAGATGAAGAAGAGTCAGAGTTCAAATAATATTGTTTCAAAGACCAGAGAGTTTTCTTTGTTAAAGAGTTCCCCTTTGATGTCACTTCCTGTTTCACTTTGGCTAAGCCAAGTTCAAAAGAAAATATGCCAGTTATGGGACAAAATGGGTTAAATCGTGTGCATTATTCCAACTTTCTTAAATATAAAGATGTTTTCTTTGACTTTTTGTGTTTGAAGAATATGCATGTCACAGGCACTTTAAAGATCAGGAAGAACGTCCATCTTTTCCAGTCACTGCCTCGATTATCTTGTCAACCTCTAAAAGTATTCGGACTCCTAACATTGTCGTTTTCCTTTCAGCTCTGCTCCGTCGTCTCTGTCGATAATGTCCCCTATGAATGCTGTTCCCAGCGACTGGGCGGTGCCGCATGCCTCAAGACTGAAATACAGGCAGCAGTTCAACAGCCTGGATAAACAGATGACTGGATTTCTCACAGGTACGAGGAGCTTACGTCTCTGGGCATGTAATGACAGAGTTACACAAAATACAGCGCTGTGCAGAACTGCCGTCCCCCCCACCTTTTTGTTTGTTTTTGTCAAATTTTAGTTGCCTCAAAGGAAGTGGTGGTTGAGTTTTACGGGTGTGTTGAGAAACTGGACATTTCTCAACACACACTCTTTGACTTGTGTTCATTCGTCTTCTTTTTTTATAATCCCCGTCGAACCTGTTCCCTCAAAAATATGAGGATTTACTGAGATAACAATAGCACACGTATGAACACGCTCTTTCACCCAGTCCCTCCAGTCAGCCTTGTTGATCGCTTCCTGAGTAGTGTGGCTCAGCCCGTTAGATAAGTTACACAAGTGGCTTGTTTTTATTGAAGTTCTAATCCAGGAATCTGTTCTTTAAGCCTAATCTCATATATCAAAGTGAATTAACTGTGACTAAACAGTTAATTTTTATTTTAGCTTCACTTCACTGACTCACACGTCCTGTTTTAAAGAGATTATGCACAAACATACAGTGGCCACTTGTTTAGGTCAGACCTGACAGTCTCACTTTACCCCTGCTTCCTCTTATCACCCACACACCTGAGCCTCACAACCCCGCTGATGCTCATCTTTCATATGTCCAGGTCAGCAGGTGAGAAACGCCATGGCAACCACAATGCTGACACAGACACAGCTGGCCTCTATCTGGTGAGAAAATCTTGTATATATGTGTGTGTACTTGTTTTTACTACAGTGTGAGGACCATTTGTGCCATAGTTACTATCAAAGTGAGGTCTTTGTAAAGTGAGGTCCGCTTCAATGTCCTCACTTTGTTTGCAGCTCTGCTGTGATTTAATAGTTAGGTTTAGAGGTATGGTGTGAATTAAGTTTTGGTTCAGGTTAGGGTGAACTATAGACCAGTAATGGTTAATTTTAGGGAAGATGTCTGGGTTAGACATAGATACTAGGGCTGTAGTGATACACTAATCTCATGATACAATACGATATTTGATATTCTGCTCACGATACGATATATATCACAATATTCAGTGAACGATACAATTCGATACGATTTGATTTTCTGAACGATTTTGGAGGGACAGAGTGATTTTGGTGACATTTTGGGACTGTTCCATAGACTTGGATTGAATTAATTGAACTGAAAACTGATTAAAAGCACCAACTACACAATACCTGGCTCTGATTGGACAGAGACCTAGTCTACAGCTGGACAAAATTAATCAAAGATGCGGTGAGAAAATTTGTTTTCTTTAATTGAAACAGTGCAAACTGTAGCTTACAAGCCTAAATAATATTTGGTTCCATCCAGGTAACTTTGACCAATAAAGAGCAAATTTCCCCAGATCTTCAGGATTTGTTTATGATGAGAGGAATTAACATAGTTAAAGACTTGGAGGTAAATTATTTTGTTCCCATGTTACAGAGGGGGAAAATATTATTTTAAACAACTGAAATATTTGGTTCTTGTATCAGCAATACAAAAATTATAAATCCACACAATGTGTTGGAAGACAGTGTTTGGTGTCTGGCTGATAAATTGTGAAGCTAAAGAGAACATGAGAAAGGTTGGAAAAGGACTGATAAGGACTCATCCTGTGACTTAAAAAAAAGGCCAGGTTTTATTTATTTATTCATTTTAGAGTTTTTTCAACAGCAGCTGATAATTAAACTTAAAGCTACCTTGACACCAACCTTTTTTATTGCTGATATAAGAACCAAATATTTCAGTTGTTTAAAATAATCTGTTCCCCCTCTGTAACATGGGAAAAAATAATTTACCTCCAAATCTTTAACTGTGTCAATTCCTCTCATCATAAACAACAAATCCTGAAGGGTTAGGGTTATGTGAGTCCTTTTAACGAGAAATTCATCAGAAGTGCTGTGAAAATGGTCGGATCCGCCTCTCTGGCTGCAGTGTGCCCTCCAGACACAGGGGGAACAGATTTTCACAGGGGAACTGAATTTTGCACAACACCCACTGAGCTCGAGGTGCTAGACGCATGCCTGTCTGCATTCCGTAACGTGACAGCTGACTACAGTCGGAAAAAGAGCACCCCGGACGAGACACTTAATTTGGCTTAAAATACAGACATCTGACTAATAAGGGACTGTTTGTAATCTTACGTCAGCTTAGAAGGCAGAGGGTGTCTGTCTTTTCCGCTCAGATTCAGCTATCGGTGCATGATGCTAATGTTTACTCTCCATGCTAATGCTGCTGCTACTCTCTGGCTCCTTAGGATTAGAGGAGCCAAATGGCTGGCTCACTGCTGCCAACTAGTGGTCAGAGGCTGAACTACAACATAAAAATGAACCGTTGGCAGGAAAGTTGACATTTTAAACTTTAATTAAAAATCTATACAGGGCTTTAGAAAATCGATGCAGTATCGGGAAATGAAATCGATATATTTCGGTGTATCGATATTTTCCTACACCCCTAATAAATACAGTTACAAAAATGAATGGAAGTCGATACAAAGTCCTCAGTTTGATGCAAATACAAAGGTGTGTGTGTGTGTGTGTGTGTGTGTGTGTACGTACTCATATTTGTTACCTTTTTAGAACCATTACTGGTGTAAACAGTAATGTAGTATTTTACTTAGGGATGTCTGATCCAATGTCAGTGTATGATATCGATCCAATATAGCCCAAAAAACGAGTATCAGATTATATTGGCCTGCATCTAAAATTTCCGATATTAGATGATTTATCTGTATTAGCTTTGTAGAGAGATCTAGTAGAGTGCTGAGTCAATGTGTGTGAATGAGTAAATGATTGTAGTGTAAAGTGCTTTGAGTTTCCTGGCTGGAAAAAAGCTGCTACATAAGTACAGTCCATTTATCCATTATGTGCTGGGATATTCAGATGTTTCGTTTTCTTATTTGTTTCTGAAATAAAAGTGTGTCCTGAGACTTTTGACTCACCCTGTAGATGATCAACATTTGTCACTTCGCAACATTTTTAACGTTGATATACGTACATGTATACAATTTAATTAATGCTTCAGCCACATTGTCCCAGATTTTTCTCCGCCTCCAATACGAACAAATGCAAATGCAGAATAGTTGTTCCATAAATGAAATAGGAAAATCAGTGTGTGCAGTTTCACTGCCTTTTAAGGTCAAAGCACAAGTACTCCAGCATGTGCGTGGTCATGGAAAAGCTTGGATTTGTGACTTGTGACCCCACTCCTGCAGGAATTTATCTGATGTTGACAAGGATGGCAAACTGAAAGCAGAGGAGTTTATTCTGGCGATGCATCTGGTGGACCTGGCAAAGATGGGGCAACCGCTGCCTCTGACGCTTCCACCTGATCTGGTACCACCTGCACACAGGTAAGCACACCTTTTAGATTTGAATACTTGATATACGTTTCTTTAATGATGACACAAGTTAATGACAGACTATATTCATGTACTGTTTGTGGTGTTTTAATGCAGGAGTGCAGTGAATGGCTCCAGCTCTTCCTTCTATTCAGCTATGATTGATGACCTGGACATAGAGCCTCCACAGAAAGCCAGAACTAACAGTCAGTTTCATTAATTGTTCATTCGACTCTCCAAGTTTTATATCGATCCTCTTTATCTAAATCAGGGGTTCTTAACCTTTTTGACCTCGGGGCCCAATTTGTTGAACTTAAAGTGACACGAGGCCCAGTCGGACATTACCAGTGTATGGATCAAAATGATGATTATTCTAAATCTAAATCTTGGTTTAATTTTTATTGTATTTGCATCATAACTAAACTATCATAACAAACATAACTAAATTAAATACACTTACAGTTTAAAAGTAAAACTCCTGTCAAATAATCACAAGACATGATTATAACTAACATTTTTATATTGTAACCTGCCCGTAAGAATTATTTGAACAAATACAAAGGTCCGTCAACAGACCACTCAGGCTTATCATCACTATACAGTATATACA